GAAGTAGAGTTATTGCTGTGACTATACCTGACCATGCTGTCCAGGAGCCTTTGGGAATGGCTTCTGGTAAGACTCTGGAAAGGTTTGGAGATGCTAGCTGGAAAAGTAGATCTGGAATTCCTTAGACTGTTCTATGTAGGAGATTCTGGTCAGTTTGGAAGACCAGAAAGCCAGTAAAAACCAGGCTTGGGAGGTTTCTGATGGGAAGAAGGGTTATGTTGGTTGCTGGACTCCAGATGATGTGTGTTAAGGCTTGGCAGAATGTTTGTCTGTGTTTTGCTTATGTCCCAGGGAATTTACCTGAGACTGAGATTAACCTGGCAGAAGAAATTTCAAGGTAGTTGAATGCTGAGGTGATGGTATGGCTACTCTTGGGGGCTTTTAGTCAGATTTATGTTGAGAATCAAGAGCAAAGAGCCAAGCAGAATGATTTAAAACATTGAAGTTTAGCCAGAAAGAAAGCTCCAGCAAAGCTGTGGACTGCAAAGATAGAGCAGAGGAGAACTTGGTTGTTGAGAAGGAATAAGAGAGATGGCCTGAAGGCATCTCAAGAAACGGCAGGACTCTACTCTTTTCAGCCTCAAAATTGCAAAAGTGCAAGACTTACTTTGAGAATAAAGCTGCAGAGCACCATGTTCCAGAATGGTGGTGGCCTAGAGAATTTGTTCCTCAAAATTGGATTCAAAGCGCCCAGTGATCTGGGCACTTGATCTCTACAGCCAAAACAGATGGAAGCCTAGCTACTGCTCCAGCTGGCAGCAAACTTTGGCAGCAACCATGTGACGCTGGTCTTAAGTGCATGTAGAATGCAAGAGTTATGCAGTCAGGAAGCTCTGACCCAGATTTCAGAAGGCTTTGGAGGCCAGGCAGTGTGCCCCTAAGAGGGCAGTGTGTGAAATTGTGAGTGTGAAGCCAAAGGTACAGTGGAGACCTTTGAATTTTGGAGAAGCCTGGGACATGGGTTGTCTGAGAAAAACTGCAAGGAGGCAGTACAGCAGACCCAAAAAGAAGCCATGGGAGCTACAACCACCAGAAGTGCCCTTGGGATTAAGCCACCCAAGCCCTTTGGAGTTCACATCTTGCCACAGATTGCCTCGGATGTTGCACATGGAACTACAGGACTTAATGTTTTCCCTGCTTGATTTTGGACTGGCTTTGGTCTCATTATTTTGTATCCCCCTATTTGTAACTTTTGGAATGGAAATGTGTATCTTGTGCTATTGAATGTTGGAAGTGTTTAACTTTCTTTTCATTTGTACAGAAATTCACAGCTAAGAGTTTACTTTAAATCTCAGAGGAGACTTTTGACTTGGACTCTTCAGCAATGTTGAAACTGTTAGGATTTTGGCAACTCTTAGAGATGAACTAAATGCCTTTTGCATAAAGGAATTTGCATGAGTTTTGTGAGGCCAGGGGTAAAACGTTATGGTTTGGGTCTGGATGTCCCTCTAATGACTCACACAGCCAGAGTTTTGGGGGAGGTGGCTGAATCTAGAGTGTGTGATTGATTCATAGTGCAATGCTGGGATTGAAGGTGCTAGAATTAAGGATGGGTGATGGCTGGATCAGTCCACTGATTGGATTGGCACCACCCTAATCCTGGAAGACTGACACAATATAAGGGGCAGAAAGAGACCTCTCTATCTCTCTCTCTCTTTCTGTCTTTCTCTTTCTCTTTCCCTGTCCCTCTCCCTGTCCCTGTCCCTGTCCCTGTCCCTCTCCCTCTCCCTCTCCCTCTCCCTCTCTCCCTCCCCTTCTCTCCCTCCAGCTGTTTTTAGTGCCTTCTGTCACCATGAATGATTGCTCCTCTGCCATGGGCCGCCCTGCCTTGGAGTGAGCCGATTATGGACCAAAACCTCTACAAACTATGAGCTAAATAAATCTTTCTCCATTTAATTTTGGGTGTTGGGTATTTTGTCTCAGGAATAATAAAATTAACTAAGACAATGCCCAAGATTCTGAAATGGTCAGCTGAATGGATGATGGAGACATTAGCTTTAATGGGAAAGACCTGGGGGAAATGGACTTTTTAAGATTCATAGCATGTTAAATGCTATGAATTCCTTCATGAGGGGAAGGAATCCAGAATTTAACTCTTAACTATGATGGGTGTGACATGTCTGTGAGACATCCACCTAAAAGGGTCAAATGAGAAACTGAAAATGTGGGCATAAAGGGAGGAGATCTTTCTGGAGGCCATTCCAGATAGAGACTCTGAAAGCAAAGAAGGAATAAGTTTATCTATTGAAAGAGGGTATGTGACTAAAGAAGGCTGCAGAGACTTCAGAGGACCCATCCCTGAGAAAAGATGAAGAAAAGATCATTTCTCAAAGGATTCAACAAAATCATTCTGTATGGTACCCTAGTGCTAGATATAGGACTTTATACACTTGTCCAAACTCTCCAAATGTACACTGTTAACACTGAATCCTACTGCTCATCATGAACTTGAGTTAACACTAATATATAAATGAGTGGCCATCAGTTGTTACAAACGTACCATAATGACCCAAGATTTTAATGGTATGGTGAACTCTGGGATGTAGGTGTGGGAGGAGGGAGTATGTGGGAGCTCTTCGTACTTCCTTTTCAGTGTGTCTGTAACTCTGAAACGGCTCTAAAATAAACTCTACTAATTTATTTTTAAAAAGAAGAAAGCATCGGCTTTAAGACTTAGAGCAAAGAAAACAAATCAAAAAGGTGTCCGAGGTCTTACCGGGAAGAAAAGAGAGCCTTAAAACAATACAGATTTATTTTGAAGCAAAAAGACACCTTGTCCTTATCCATCTAGTTTGAGTACAGCACAGATCAAAGATTTTAGAAAAATCCTTAACTTTCTACACTGGTTTTGTAATTTGCAATTTTTTCTTACAGTAAAGGATTTAGGAAGATGACAAAGAGCATTTAGGATCAATCATCAAAGATCAATGTTTTTCTGTATTCAAATCAAAGCACTTTTTCACAGCCCAGGTTTTCTGGAGTCAATCAAAACTAGACTGTAACTTCTACTTAGACCTTGGGGATCTTAGTGATGTTGGATAAAACCACCTAGGTTTTTCAGGCTCACTTTCAACTATTCAGAAAGTGGGAGGAATTCTTACTTCCTAGGCTTGCTGTGAAGACCACAATGACTTAGCATCCCTTAAACTGTACACATTATGACCAATGGTGAAGGTCTTATCAAGTATTGGACATTATGCTCTTATCTCAAGTAATCTTTACCACAGCCCTGCAAAGTAAGTACTCCTAGCCCCATTCATTGCTCAGATGAGAAAAGACTCACAGAGGTGACTTGCCCAAGATCACGCAGCTGATAAGTTCGTGACACTAAGCATGAAGCTCTGCCTATTCCACAATGCCCTCAAGTGCTTTAGTATCATGTTATAGTTTGGATCTGAAATGTCACCCTAACATGCACATATTGAAAACCTGTCCCTGTCCCCACCTGAAGATGCCATTGAAAGATTGTGGAAACTCAAAGAGATGGAGGCTAGTTGGACAAAGTACATTCTGGGGCCATGGCCTTGAAGGGTACATTGCAACTCAACCTCTATCTCTCTCCTTTCTGGCTATGAGACGAACAGCTTTGCTCCACCATGATATGCTGCCTTGCCATAGGCCCAAAGCAATGAAGCCAGTTGATCATGCACCAAACCTCTGAAACCAAGAGCCAAAATAAATATTTCCTAGATCATTGTCTCACAAAGGAGGGAAGGAAGGAAGGAAAGAAGAACAGAGGGAAGGAAGGAAGGAAGGAAGGAAGGAAGGAAGGAAGGAAGGAAGGAAGGAAGGA